GAAAACTTAAAAGTTTCAAACAAATATAATTTCAAAAATAACTGATACGTGTCCTTTAAATTATCATAGCTCTGTTAATAACCTGGAGGAGCCCTGGTGCTATAGTGGTTATGCAATGGGCTGCTCACCACAAGGTTAGCAGTTCGATACCACAAGAGGAAAATGAGGCTTTCTACTCCTGTACAGTCTTGGAAATCCACTGGGGCATTTCTAGGGAGGTTGTTATGAGTCAGCACTGACTAGATGGCAGTGAGTTTGTTTTGTTTGTTTGATTAGGCTGGGCTCTCTGGAAAAGCAAAATCTCCATACTAAATATATATCTCCATATACTAAATATGTAATGTAGATAGGAGCCCTGGTAGCATTAGGAACCCTAGTAGTGATTACACATTGTGCTGTTAACCTCAAGGTCAGCAGTTCAAAATCACCAGCTGCTCTGCAGAAGAAAGGCAAAGCTTTCTCTTCCTAAAAGAGTTAGTCTCAACAACAACAAAAAAAGTTAGTCTCAGAAACTCAAGGGGTCAGTCTACTTTGCCCTATGGGGTTGTGGTGAGTGAGAAATGATTCCATGGCAGTGACCTTGGGTTTTTTAGCTTAAAAATTGTGTGTGTGTGTGTGTGTTTGTATATGCATTTATACCAAGAACATGACTCGTACAGATGTAGAAGCAGGTAAGTCCAGCCCAGTCCAAGTCAGTGGGTCAGATGTTAAGCTGGAGGATTTTCCTGACTCACGTAAGTAGCTTCCAGGACTGACATCCAGGAAGCTGGAACATGATCCTGGCAGCAACCCATGCCCATGGCTGCAGTCGGCTGGCAGTATTGCAGACCTCTGAAATTTCCCAGGGTCAGCAGGCAACATGGTGGGCTAAAGGTTGCTGTGACAGAAGCAGGGTCCACCGCAAGAAGAACCAAGCTTTCCCACACAGTCTGCTTAAATAAGCGAGAGTAGGTCACAGACCGGTGGAGAGTCCCTTTCAAATGCCTCAGGGCTGTGACCTGAGTGAGGAAACTGTACTCCTCCTTAACCCTTTACCACTGCCTTGCTGCCCACAGTATATGACAATAGCTCTGAACTAAAAATCATTTTTCCCATGGCACAAAAAGTAGCTTTTTTTTAAAAGGCACCCTAATGGGGCTAAGGCAAGTGCACTACTGAGAGAACTTATCTGCAGCATCCAGTGATTGCTGCGACATGTTTAAACACATTTTATTTGGAATAAGCCCATGTATGTTTGAACTGGAAGCCTAGTAGCAATACTTTGTGACTCACCCACATATATACTTTATAGATTACCCAGCCAATTAACAGCGAGTGAATTAGGCAACATGCCAAATTCAGCCTATAACTCCTCTGGTTTGGTTCAGTCCTTGAACTAAGAATAGTTTATACACTTTGAAAGGTCTGCAAAAATAATGAAGAAATAAAAAAGAATATTCAACAGCCTGTAGTGCTCTACAAGGCCTGAAATGTTTACAACCTGGCATTAAACAGAAAAACTTTTCCAACTCCCAATCTGAGCTAGGAAAACAAGCATGTATCTTTACACATAATGCTTAAGATACAAATACATCAAAGTAGATGATGCATAGTTCTTTCAGCGCTAGGTTCAACATGATACAAACTATTCTTGTTCAGTGATGCCTATTTCTCTGTGTCCAGGTCTGAGGCTGAGTCAAATCTCTTCTAAGCTTTCTTTCCTATTTCCTACTACCTGTTCTTAGATACTATCACATTTGTTTCCTTACCACTTCTTCCAACTCCATCTTTCTTTCTTTCTTGAAATGTTTTTCCCTTTGCTGTCGAAATCCTTCCTAAATGTCAAGGCCTATTTCCTTCAAGTGATCATTTTTGCCTGCACTGGCCACATTTCCTTTCCATCAGTACCACACAATTTAATACTGTCATAGTCTTACTAATGATTTCCTGTGAGTTAGTCTAGAACCTCTAACTAGTATGCAAACTATTTGAGGAAAGAAAACATACCACACTGTCTCTGTGTCCCCCACTTTAATAATACCTCATCATCTTCGATGTATATGCTATCTTCCAAATGTATCTTTCTCATTTGGAAACATCACGGATGATACTGATAAAGGAACCTGTAGTACAGACCATAGGCTGTACTACAAACTTTATGTTAGAAAGACAAGGAAAAACACAATAGTGGGAAGTTAGATAAGGATTAAAAAAAAAAGACTAGTACATAGTACTAAGAACATTATACAATTATAAAAGCTCACATTAAAAAAAAAAACAACCAAAATTTTCTTTTGACATCATCAGCCATTAGCTTCCTTTTAACAAGCAGTTGTTGGCATTTGTATGCAGAGTTCCATTTTGTTTTTTGCAATATAATAAACTGAAGCACAAGACTCAATGGGGGTGGGGAGGAACTATGGATAGGGACAAAGGGACTCAATGGAATAGTCACGGACAGCATTCCAAATCTTTGTATTTACAACACACCCAGTAGCCAGAGTAAGAATTGATTCCATCCTAAGCCTATCTTCAAGTTGAATGTGTATAAAGTCAGATCCATTAGGTTCTGTTCAGATTTAACATAAGGTAGTCAAATGTTTGTCTTAGTATAATATACAGTCTATGCCTTAAAACACTTCTCAAAACACCTAATCTTGAACATAATAATAAACCAATTGATTATCAAGGAGATTTCAATTCACAGTGATCCCATAGGGTTTCTAAGACTGTAAATCTTCCAGGGAGTAGACAGCTCTTCTTTCTTCCAAAGAGCTTCTGATGGGTTTGAACCACCGGCCTTACAGTTAGCAGCCAATGTTTAACCCATTGTGCTATCAGGGTTCTTTCAACAGAATACAGCAATAATAATAATGTTTAGCTACAAGTGGCAAAGTAGCACGTTTGTTATTAAAAACCACTATATGTACCTCCAAAATTCAACACATTAGACTGTTACATGGTTGGTTCCTAACTATAAGTTATATTTAAGCCTGACGTTCATAATCTGGGGATTGCATGTATTGGGAATTTAATGTGCTAAGGAACACCAGTGGTGTAGTGGCTATGTGGCGAACTGCTAATCAAAAGGTTAGCAGTTTGAAGCCACCGACTGCTCCATGGAATAAAAAAGAGGTTTTCCATTCCAGTAAAGTATTACAATCTTAAAAACTCACAGAAGCATTCTACCCTGCCCTATAGGGTCACCATGAGTCATAACCAACTCAATAGCAGTTAAGTTTGCTTGGGTGAGAGACTGCTGAAAATTTAAAAATAAAACAAAAAAAACAAAACCCCCCACATAATCTTTCAATTATCTGGCTAATAAAATTGAAAAACACCTCAATTTATTTTCAGGAAAGATGTACCAAGAGCATTTAAAAAAAAAAAATAATACCACTACCACCTTTTGGCTACTTCATCAAATTGCATTCTTAAAACTATGTCAAAATATAAGACATAAAAGTCTTGGATACGGAGCCCTGTGCCTTAGTGGCTATGCATTTGGCTGCAATCTGCAAGGTCAGCAGTTTGAAACCACCTGCCAATCCAAGGGAGAAAGGAGCTTTCAACTCCTGTAAAAAATTACCATCTCAGAAACCCATGGGGACAGTTTGTCCTATAGGGTTGTTGTGAGTCAGCACTGACTAAATGGCAGGGAGGGTTTTATGAATATAAAACACATATAAACAAATCATAAAACAAATACAAATATTACTGTCTGGTTAGTGACAGAAGAGTTTTTCTTAATCAGTTATAAGATATGCTTAATGTTATAGTGATGAGAATTTATAAGTAAAAGGTAATCATGAAATGCACAGGAAAATAAAATATAAATGCACAGGAAAATAAAATATATCAGCTCTCAATCATTCACATGAAGAGAGGAAGGGATGACTCAAGTCCCCCCAAAATTCCCTAATGCCTATAATTAATTTGGGAGAAGAAAATTATCCTTATAATTAAGCTTGATAGAAGCCAGTGTTAACCAGGAGGTTATTTTTCCACAGTGATTCTGAGGGTTCACACAAAATGATAAAGAAAAAAAGGAGCTGTTTCAGAAGCATACACGTGGCTAAAGGCAACCAGTCTGGGATTAAAAAGTATTTCCACAGTAAACCTACACATCGATGACTGAGAGATGATCTATGAAGGGCAAGAACACAATTCAATGTTACAATGCTAAAAAAAAACTAAACTTACTAACAAGATGTTTTTCCTACCACGTTTTACCATCCCTTCTTCCCACTAATTGAAAATATTAGGGATAGCAACAATTCTAGTGAGCTAAAAAGCTAAAGGCATAATTATAGGTTGCATTTTACAAAACACGTTAAAATTTTCATTACTGTCTTTTGTTTGTTCCAGTTTCAGTTGTCCCAGTGGGTGTTACTTGAGAAAAACCGAATTGAACCCAAGAAATATCGAAAAAGCCAAAGATTCATTTCTCTTGAACGTTTTTAGTTGATTTAAGAGAAGAAACCCTTACAAGATGGCAAGAATGGAAGATTTAGAAAATACACAAGCACTAAATATTTACCCAAATACAAGACATAACCACAAAACTGATTAGTGTCTGTTTAACATATGGTTCAGACTCTCGAGTGACATATGTTCTGTGGCGGTGCCAGTAATGGCACAATCATAAAATATTATACTCAAAGTACTTCTGAGTTCAACTGCGGCTGTTTCATTCCCATTACACACGGGAAAAAACACACAAACTTTGGTTTCAAGAACTAAGAATCCAGACCACAGCCAGAGCAGAAAAATTGCGTGGCTTCGTTGAAAAGTCCATTGTGAACGCATACAAGATGTTACTGTTAGAAAAAAATGGGGGGAAAAAATCTTTCCACCCTTCGTAACTAACAGATGGTGCAACACAAAGGGGCAGAACGCACATAAAAATTGTGCAAAAGACAAAACCTCTCATTTCTCCTTCCTAGTACCTCTGGCCACCATTCCACACCCACCCACCGATAGCTCCGGGCTCGCAACGTCAGCCGCAATAAAAGGCTTACCGACTACATTCATTGAAACAGCCGCCGTAACGTGACGGCCGCATCAGGTAGGCGAAGGTCCCTTGACCGAACCCGGGACGTCCTGCAAAACAGCCGGGTCAGAAGTTCAAGATCCAGGTGGTCCTCCGCGGCCAGGCCGGCGCCATCCACCCCGCCTCCGCGGTGCACAGGTGGCTCCCCGCCCCCGCCCGCCGGG